AGTGATTTCGACCAATGGAGTGAATGAGACCACTATGCATTTTCCATGAGGAATAAAGTAACACGAACATGGAGACCAAAAGTAGTACACCTCCAGGTTCATGATATAGATTAAAATCTCAGATAAGATAAAAAGTTACCTGTATATTGCTACTTCTCAAACACATTCAGAGAATAATAATTTAGTGGTTTAAAAGCAATGCCAAATTCTCAGGATATTTGTCCAATTAGTAAGGTGGGTAATCTAATTTCCTAAGTTTATATATTTTTTCTTCTATAAAACTCAATACATTATTTTCATGTTGAAATGTCAAACTGAAGGCCTATATACATTTTTTTTTTCCTGACACGGTTTAGTACAAAAGTTTCTCATCACCATTGACAAAGAACTTTTTAAAAAAGTAATCTACACTGTAAATTTATGATGTGAAAAAATATACAGGAAATACCAGAAGAAAAAATTACTTTTGTAAAGCTAGGAGTCTATCAAAAACATTTCCGTTATTTGCTAATACACTTGGCAAAAACATTCAGGTTTTTAATTCAATATTGAATAAAATGTCATTCAATATTTTATTGATTCTGATTACGACATGTTTGGAAGCCTACGTTGTTTTCAAATCATTTTGGATTACTCCACAGAATGAGTCACATCTGCTACAATGAAATCCCGCTGAATTTTGGTTAATATATTTAATTCTATTTTTAGAGCATTTAGTTCAAGTTTTAGAAGATTTCTGGTCTTTCTATTGTCCATTATTAATATGCACCTACAGGTCAAAACAGTCATTCTGTTAAGACTTTGGAACTGAAAACCATTTGGGGGAGAAAGAGTACTATTTAACAGTCACTATTCTAAGCCTTCACTGCTTTCCACTTTGTATGCAAAACTCTGAAGGTTCAGCTTTTGGTTTTTAAATTCACAGTTTCTAAAACCCAGCAGGCAATTTCATGTTACAATCCTAATTTAGAGGTGGAAAAAACAAATCTGTGAAAGTTAAGATTGGTTCTGCTATATGAAGCTCAAAATAAACTCTAAAGTTTTTATATACAAAGTAAATTGTCATTTCTATAAATGCAATTTGTCAGTTAGATGACATGTTTTAAAAAAATTTAAACTTTCCTTTTACAATGCAGGCAGACAGAACAGAACAAACATGACATTAATGATATACTAGTAAAATACACTAAGTCCAATAAAAGATGAAGAAACTACAAGGAGAAACTAGAATGGAAAATAGGCTACAAGGGACTATATGGGTTCATTAACACAAATAATTTTTGAGTCTGGCCTAAATAATTAATTGCCTTTGACATCATTTTGCTTTCCCTTTGTTAAAGTACATTTTTCTCAAAGTCAGCAATACCTTGTCTACCTGTCCTGTCTGGGAGACTGAAAGATAAAGGTCTGTAAGAGAGAAGAATGGAAAGAGCTAGAAAGATCAGGATGTTCAGGAAAAAAGAGGACTGACTTATAAAAAGTAGTGACTAAATTCAGACCCAGAATAACATGAAATACATAAGAGCTAACAAGTCTCCCCAACCTTGCCCCTCTACTTCTACCCCCAGGGTGTCCTTTTATTCTTAGACAGCTTCCTGGGTGCTTCTTACATTTCCCCCAAATCCCACCAACATCCAAGTTGGAACCCGCCTCTTCCAAGATCCCAGTGTTAAAGTAAACCATTTTTCTGACAAAACATAATAGATGAAAATACATTCCGAGCATATCTTTGTTTCTCCTCTCTTTAAGGATCTGGGAGATCTGTGGTTCTACCTGTCTGAGTGTTGGGAATTAAAATGGCTCATTTTCTTCCATCACCAGAAATATTCTACCTTTAGGTCAACATAGAAAATCTTTTATTTCTAGTTTTATCCCTAGATAAAACTATGTTGTTTTAAAAGCTGTGTCTTAATTACACCCAGGTGATTTTTAAAAGATAAATGATATTCCTAAAATAGTACTTAAATGAATTGGTAAAATACAAAAACCAGTTCTTTTCATCAATCATGACATTCTGTATTTTAATTATGTCTTTCTTGGTAAGTTTTTGCTTGTATTTTAACTGAAATTTAGTAAGAGTCAGGTTAATAAAAGTTTATACTTTGTTTTTAAATCATTTTGAATTACTCTGCAGAATCAGTCACATCTCTGGTAGACCTAGCCAACTCAAGCAACATGGAAATGAAACTTACATGAAAATTTTTGACATTTCATTGTGTCTGGAATAAAGCTAGTAGCCTTCCAAATATACTAAAAATTGCTGAAAAATTACTCAAAAATCAACATAATTTTCAACACTTTAAAAATATAATCAGGACTGAATGACTTTACTTTGTCTGAAATTCTATTTTATAACAAAAATATCAGCAGATATTACATGTAGAGAAACACTTGATAAATACATAACTTTGTGGTTTATTCCCAATCAGATTTAAACATACTTTCTTGTAAAGAACAAATAGCAAATCTAATTTGGTAGCAGGTAACAACTGATTATAGGTTACAAGATGATCAATGGATAAACCACAGAAATATTCACCAGTACTCTAAACTATTTTAAATAGGATTTCTTCTATGAAAGGATTTTAAGTTATAGTATAAGTATTTCCATCAAAAATGTAAATTCTGCATTTTATTTCCCTTTATAGATAAGAAAAATTGCCTCATTAACAAAGTTTTACCAGACAATCAAAAAGTAAATAACCATTATGCAATTATTATAGGTCCTTCATGACTTTTTGTCAATATTATATATTATACATTAAGGAGCAAAATAAAAAGAAGTAACACCACCAATGGAAAAGAGTTAAATACCTGCAAAGGTGAAAATTCCAGACAAATAGTCAATATATGTTTAAAGATGATTACACAGAATTCACAAATTACCATTTATCCATTCATTTTAGACCGATTATTAATGTACTGTATCACTGTTTGTCCTTGGCATTTAAAACCTACAACCATACAGTTTTGTAAAGCAATATTTAACAAATTGCACACATTTTAAGTTATCATTTTAAGACTTTAAAAAATATAAGACTTAGAGTAAATCTCTGCTATACTAAATAATATGCTGTAAGTTAGTCCTTTTCCTTGTGCTAAAACAAAGTTTTCTCTATTAACTTAGTTTCTGTGTTCCCTTTTTAAAAACCATTTTTAAAAAACTGGCTACAGAACATATAAAATACATACTATTACTTAAGAAAGTCATAGTTCTTTATTACCATTATAGGCTTTTCCTTTGGGAAATTGGTAGGGATGGTAAATTAAGATAAGGAAAAATGTAAGACTGTTTTTTAATTTAAAATAGAACATTGGTAAATGTTTCCACAGAAAGCTTCCACTGTTTCTAACCCTCAGATTTCAGGTTTATTCATCATCTTGCATTTCAATTCAAATGAGAACAGAATTGCATTAAACTGAGCCTTTAAAATGACAAGATAAATTTTTCAGAACTCACCTTTTGTAAATTAATGCCAGTGTATTTTTAATACCTTGCTATATTTATTTTAAATCAACCAAACATCTGAACCTATAAACTATTCATTTTTTTCAACATTTGCTATGGTAATAAACAATCAAAATAATATGAACTTGAATGGTTCAGCAAGAGCACCTGCTCTGATATTCATTCAGCCTAGTACTTGAGGGAAGAGTCACTAAATTCTTTTTTTTTGAGTTGGGATTTCACTCTGTTGCCCAGGCAGGAGTGCAGTAGCACGATCATAGCTCACCACAGCCTCACCATCCTGGGTCCTAGGCTCAGGCAATCCTTCTACCTCAACTTCTCCAGTAGCTTATAGGCATGTGCCACCACACCTGCTTAATTTTTAAATATTCTGTAGAAAGGAGGTCTGGCTGTGTTGTTTAGGCTCGTCTCAAACTCCTGAGCTCAAGCAATCCTCCTGCCTTAGGATCTCAAGTGCTGGTATTACAGGTGGGAGCTGTCACGCTCAGCCGAAGTCACTAAAATTCTAAAGTGGGGTTTTATACAATGCTGAAGTTCAGGTTGGTTCTCATTCACCCAATCTAGGTTGAATCTAACAGCACAAAATATAACAAACCAAATTATTTATCTTATAGAATGCAATAAAAATCATGACACATATATATATATATATATTAGTGTACATAAAATATGTGCCTTTACTAAATTGTCAGTAACCTTTGGGAAAGAGTCAGAATGAAAAGATTAAAGTATTGAATTTCTTTTTTTGAGTCAGAATCTCACTCTGTTGCCCAGGATAGAGTGCAGTGGAATGCTCACAGCCACCACAGCCTTGACCTGCTGGGCTCAAATGATCCTTCTGCCTCAGCCTTCCAAGTAGCTGGAACTATAGGCATGTGCTACCATGTCCGGCTACTTTTCTGATCTCTTGTACAGATGAGTCAAGTTGCCCAGACTGGTCTTGAACACCTGGGCTCAGGCAATCCTCTTGCCTGTATCTCCCAAAGTGTTGGGCTTACAGGTGTAAGCCACCACAACCTACCTGAATTTTTTTTTTGAATGTACATTCGGACTTGCCAAGCACCTATTCTAACTTAAAACATTACATCCTCATAAGAATTCCATTTCTTTCTCCCCTTTCCAGAAATAGTTTTGTAACACTAAGTTTATTTATCTTTAATTTCTCTGTTATTTTTATCAGTTCTAGGATTTCATTGACAATTACCGACTGAAGTTTTACAATGCAAATATTAGATTTCATTATTCAAATAAACAATCCTTTTTTAAGCAATAGGAAGTTAGAATTGTACTTATTACCCAAGGCAGTTATGGCTGTGGCTTAAAGAAGACCACACAAAGCTATCTGGTGGATAGTAGTCAAAGAATAGTTAACATACTAAAATGTATATATTCCATTTTTAAAAAACCAAATAAGCATAATGGTTGTACCTAAAAAGTGATACTGAAGGACAAAACAGTGAAAGCTACAAATCATGCATACTTTATGACCATGCTTAGGACTTTCCTTAACTAGGGCATTTTCCATTCTTACCTCAGATTTCTCCAGTTTATTTTGTGCATCAATTTGTGTAACAATCTCATTCATGTTTGTCTCCAATACCATTCCCCCCATCACCATTTCTGCAAGAATATTGTGAACCTAAAGGAAAAAATAATATACAATCATAAAGAAAATTCACTACAAGTTTCGTGATTTTAGTAGTTTTGTTTCAGACATTTCTGTGTATATTTTACAAGTATGAGTGGTAAAAATAATTTGGAGCCAGGGCTCATAATCCACTTTCATCATTTCTATGACGAAAGCCCTAGGCCAGCGGTCCCCAACCATTTTGGCATAAGGGACCTGTTTTATGGAAGACAATTTTTCTACAGAGGGGAAGGGGGAGGAAATGTGCAGTCAGACCCCACTGCTAATGTTAATCTGCATTTGCACTCCTCAGCACTAGCATCACAACCTCAGTTCATCAGGCATTAGATTCTCATAAGGAGCAACCTAGATCCCTTGCATGTGCGGTTCACAACAGGGTTCGTGCTCCTACAAGAATCTTATGCAATGCGGCCACTGATCTGACAGCAGGAGGAGCTCAGAAGCAAGCGATAGGTGGCGGCTATAAAAACAGATGAAGCTCTACTCGCTCACCTCCTACTGTGCGGCCTGGGTCCTAACAGACCACAGACTGGCACTGGTCTCATGAAGAGGAGAAATTTAGAAGTTGAATGTAACATGTCAAATGCTAGAATTCATATTCTCAGAGTAGGTAAGAATTTTTGCAGACTCACTAAAAGAAAGAGGATGATAAAAGACCTCCTTCTAGCTCAGCCCTAGCCCATATAGTTAATATATTCTAGTATTTTACTTCATAAATTTTATTTAAAGTAGGATTTTAATAGAATTAAAAGAAAAGGTGACAACATGCTTATAATACAATTCATCTTTTTTTTTTAAGTTAGAGTCTCACTCTGTTGCCCAGGCTGGAGTGCAGTGGCACACCTATCCCAGTGTTGACCTGCTGTGCACCGGCAATCCTTCTGCCTCAGCCTTCCAAGTAGCTGGAACTATAGGTGCATGCTACCACGCCCAGCTAAAATTTTTGATTTATTGTAGAGACAAGGTCTCGCCAAGTTACGTGGACTGGTCTTGAACCCAAGGGCTCAGGCAATCCACTCGCCTTGGCCTCCCAAAGTGCTGGGATTACAGGCTGAGCCACAGAGCCCAGCCACAAAAAATCTATTAAACTGCTTTGATGTTCACCTAAAATAAGAACTCCATGATTTATCTTCTTTTTCTGAATGTTTGTACATACTTAAATGTTTAAGAAGTAGTAAATACCTGTTACAGGATAACGGAGATTAATGAACAAGACAGTTGATCTGGAAATTAAAACATGATCCCTCAACCAACTCATCTTCAACAAAGCCATCAGTAACAATCATTGTGGAGAGGAAATCACATTTAGCAAATGGTGCTGGGAAAACTGGCTAGCCACATGCAGAAGAATGAAACCTACTAATCACCATATACAAAAATCAACTCAAAATGGATCAAGAACCTAAATATAAAACCTCAAATTATAAGAATTTTAGAAGAAAATGTAGGGAACACCCTCAAAGACATCAAAGTAGGCAATAAATTCATATCCAAGTCCTCAAAAGCAAATGCAACAAAAGCTAAGATAGACAGGTGGGACCTTATCAAACTGAAAAGGTTTTCACACAGCAAAAGAAACCATCAGGAGAGTAAAGAGACAACCCACAGAATGGAAAAAAAAAATTTGCAAGCTATGTATCTGACAAAAGTCTAACATCTAGGGTCTATGAAGAACTCAAACGAATTGAAAGGAAAAAAAAAACCTGTTAAAAAGCAGACATAGGACATGAACAGGCACTTCTCGAAGGATGACATATAAACAGCCAACAAACACATGAAAAAATGCTCACATTCACTAATCATCAAAGAAATGCAAATCAAAAATATAATGCGATACCACCCCACACTGGTAAGGAAGGCTATCATTAATAAGTCAAAAAACAAGTGCTAGTGAGACTGCAGAGCAAAGGAGACGCTTATGCACTGTTGGTGGAAATGTAAACTAGTTCACCTCTTTGGAAAGCAGTATGTTGATTTCTCAAAGAATTAAAAGTTGAGCTTCTATATGATCCTGTAATCCCTCTCTGGTCATATGTTCCTTATGACCAGAGGAACATAAATCACTCCACCAAAAAGACAACTGCACATGCATGTTTACTGTGGCACTATTAACAATAGCAAAAATAATGGAACCTACCCAGATGCCCATCGAAAGTGGACTGGATAAAGAAAAGGTGGTACATATACGTGATGGATTATGCAGTCATAAAGAAGAACAAAATAATGGCTTTCACAACAACTTAGATGCAGCTGGTGATCATCATATTAAGTGAACTATCACAAAAACAAAGAACTGAATATCACATGTTCTCACTCATAAGTGTATCCCAATCACTGGTCACACTAGCACAAGTGCTGGATCAGAAGATGCTGGACACTGCTAGGGGAGGGAGGGGGAGGGAGGGAGGAGGATCAGGCGCATATGGTAACACACTGAGTACCTTGGTCCACCACTGGGGGGGGAGAGGGTCAGCTCCACCTGCCTGCAACCTGCTCATGTAGTAAATCCCCACTTCTACCCCACAACTCAAAAAGAAAAAAAGGTTCTATCAAGATGAAAAGCTGGAAAAAAAGTAGTAAATACCACATTAACAATGTATTCCTACTACTCTTCTTCTTTTTATTTGCCCTATTTGCCCAACTGCATAGTTTCTTATGGACGCAGACTATAACTTCCAAATTTCATTTTCAGGTTTTTTAAAGTTAGTAATATAGGCAAATGACTACAAGTTCAAGTCATACAGAAACTTATGTATGAATAATAGTCTCCATCATACTGCTCTGTTACTAGGTCTCTCTATCCAAAAATAGTTAGCTGCTTTATGCTATATGTTATATATACTTGTTTTGTGTGTATATATGCATATCTAATTTACACAAAAGAGATCACACTATATACATTATTTTTACAGTTCTGCAAGAAAATAAAAAATGAACTGAAAGTTAGAGGCTGGAGAGAATGAGGAATTAGGAAAATTATAAAAGAGACTTGTGTCAGATATACATAAAAGAACGATCAATAAACTGCATTGGTAAGACCAAATGAACAAAAATACAAACATTTAAAATAGTAAATCTATTACATGTTCTCACTCATATAATGGACCTTGAACATCCATACTATAAGAAAATGACTGATGGTACTGGGAAACTATGGGGGGGGATGGGGAGGGAGATGGGATTAACAGTAGCAAATATCTGTCTAGGGGAAACACCTCTTATCAACAGGGTGCCTGAATGAAACGTAACTGTATACCTAACCCTTAACTGTACCCCACAACATCATAACAAAAAATATTTTTTAAAAAAATAGTGAATCTACATTAATTATCATACACTTAAAAATGTTTATAGATTCCTGAAAAATATAAATAACTTATTAAACAAACAAACAAACAAACAGTGGTATAGACAATATCTATGATACAGTCCTGCTGAGGTTTACAAAAAAAAAATTACACACTTGGATATGTCCATAAAATTTCTGGCAAAGCACATAACAACTTTTTAATAGATAGTAGCTAACTTAAGAATGGGACTGGAGAAATAAGGAAGAATGGAGACCTACCTTTTATTTTACAGTTTTGTTTTGAAAATTTTTAACATGAGCTTGTATTACTTTTAAAAAGCTTGCTAAAAGTAAAAGAGAAATCATGGCAGTAATTCAGAGAAACAATATAAAGGCCTAACCTAAAGCAATGGTTACACACATATTTAAGTTAATTATGAGGCAGCACAAAGGTGCTGAATATTCCTTGGTGATAAGAGAAGATAAGCATGCTACTTTCCACTTGTATTTAAAAAGGTAAGAAATCTTATACATGTGGATATGCAAAACCTGGATACCTCTGCTAAAAACAAATTAAATGAATTCTGTTATTTTATTAATATGTATAATATATTACAAAGCATGCTATGAATATCTAATAAATATTAAATACACTTTTTCCTTCAAAATCATTTATATCAATTAGGTGAAAATTTAAAAATTACAGAACAAAGTATTTGTTTTCAATAGTTTTCACTATCTTGTTTTCAGTAAATCATCGTTTAATATTTATTATTAGTGCTTCAGACAGCAACATCCTAGCTTTAATAAAATCTACACAGTCACTGAACAGTAGAATGAAGATTAAATCAGAAATATTTCACTTTGTAATAGTTACAAACCATCTACTAGACAGAACTAAGCATCTAAAAAAGAAAAAAAGGAAAGTCTAGATTCCTTTCTACAGATTGTCACCTGTTTTCAGAACATAAAAGTTACTTTGCTGTAATTTATTTTAGAAATGAAGTTCTCTGCATCAAATATTTTTAAATTAGATTATATTAATGCCTGACTATAGGGGTGGCCAAGTAAAATATGGCACATTCATTGTAGGTATGCATAGATATGGAAGGATCTAAGGACAGAGAATTTTAATAAAGCACAGAACGCTATGTGAAAACAAATTCAACACTCACTGAATCAACAGAAGCATGTGTACCTTTATAAATAGTCTGGAAGCCTACCTAGTTAAATTGTTATGAGAGATTACTTCAGGAAAGCAGTGTGGGATGGGGATGGGTGGATATAAAGAGGGCACACGGTAAGAAAAACCCTCATATTTAGTCATATGGCTTTCAGCATTGTTTGACTTTGTTTGCTGTTCACAAATGACAAAATGCACTTTTTGTGCTATATCTTGACTGTGGCGGTGGTTACATAACTATATACATTTGCCAAAACTTAGCTAACTGTATGTTTAAAACTGCTGACTTTTAATGCATATAAATTATGCCTCAATAAAGCCAAATTTAAAAAATCACAATTATACTTTTTGCTAAAAATTTCAGATTATTTTCAAACTATCTTATTCAATGGTTTAATCATTAACAAACAATCTTACATTATACAAACTTAATACTGAAAAACAAATCAGCACATTATAAAAGTCAAATGTCCTCCTTCTGAATCCCATATCCCTAACACCCACATAATGTGAGTTAGAAATCACAGTCATTCTTCCTGTCTCACCTTCAGCTTTCAGTAAGCCATCAAATCCCACCAATTTTACCTTTTTCCATCTCCATCTCAGTGGCTTAGTTCATTTCTTTCTGGACTATTGCAATAGACTCTTCATTGATTTTCCCATCTTTAGTCTCCCAGCCTACCAATCCAACCTCTACAACACAGGAAAAAAATTATCTTGCCAAAAAAATATACAAAGCAACAATAAGGCCAATAAAAACTTATTTAAAAACATTATACTACCTCAGAATAAAGTCCAAAGTCATGGCACTAACAGTTCTTCAAAATTAGGCCTCTTTATCAATATTAATCTCTCCTCACAAAAATAGCCTGTATTTTATATCTCTGCCAGTATGGCTATCCTCTCCTTTTCTATGAAATATCTACTAATTCTTTAAAATCCAGTTTTAACGTAATTTCCTCCATTCACACTCTCCTGGGTAGAGGTAAGTGGTTCAGCTGTGTTCCTATTAACATGCTGTACATACTATTTGTTAATGCCACCTTTCCCCCCTTAGATGTAACTCCTCTAGGGCAGGATCTGAATCTTTTCCATCAAGCAGTACCTGGTCCATGTATAAATAATTTATGAACTGAATAATAAATAAAGGGAAAATAAAAGAATTATTAACTAAATCCATTACCATTGATGCTTTTTTTAAAAAAATAATAAGCTTTAAGGATTGGACAACATCGAAATAGTACCTTGTCTACGTGGAAAATCAAATCCAGTTCACAGACATTTTCAAAACATTTGTCTAATGTTTCCACAAATACCTACAGAAAAACAAAAGAAAAAAAAGTTTTTGAGGATGGTGTGAGTTCATTAAAACCAGTTATTTTCAAGGTAGGCAATTCTTAACTGTAAAGAACTTTTCTAACTCTATTATCACATTTCTCTTTTTAAAATTAAAAATTGTATTAAATGCAAAAAGAGTGGAAAAAAAGAACAGACTATTCTTCAGGTAAACTACTTTCCAATACTAAGTATACAAAACAAAAGACTTTTTTGAAAATAATAAAACTAGAAAAGTCTTAGCATCATTACTTACAAAACTACTTAAAAATTCTCAACTCAGAATCCTTATCTTTTTGCCAAAAAAACCCCCAAAAACCTCAGTGGAGATAATTATCAAGATAGGTAGGTACAGTCCAAGTACCCACCATATCTCATGTACCCAGTAACTTTAAATTACCAAATCAGTATAAAAGACCACTAAAAAAAGACCACTTATGAAAAGAACACAGGCTTTGGAATCAGACTTACCTTGGTTCAAATCCTAGCTTGAATAACTTTATATGACCTTGTGTGAGTATGAGTCACTTCAGCAGGTCTGGGTTGTTCAAACCCTACACATTGCCACAAACTACCTGTTTCTAGCTCTTGGGTAGCTCCTGAGAACTAAGCTGACATTCTGGAAAGTCATCCGATTAGAATGTTTTTGTGTGTCTTGTCTTGAACCAATGCTAGACCAGCACAGCAGACAGTTTATGCCAATAGTGTGACTTATGGTGACTACTTGTTTTTTCTCCAGGGTTCTAGAACTTAAGTAACTAAAGTCAGTCATCCAGACACTATAAGCCTATGTGACTGTCCCCCAATGAAAATCCTGGGCATCTAGGCTACAGTGAACTTTCCTGGTTAGGAATGCTTTGCACACATCATTATATATTTCCAGGGGAATTAAGCATGTTCCGTGTGAAGGGAATTAAGCATGTTCCATGTGAACTTTCTTCCTGAAAGTTTGTAACATGTTTCTTCCAGACTTTGCCCCATGTGCCTTTGCTGATTGTACTCTGTATCCTTTCATTATAACTATAAAGCACAAGTATAGCAACTTCTGAGTCCTGTGCATACTAGCAAATCATCAAAATGGTCTTAAGAATTCCTGACACAGACCTTCAACAATTCATCTTTTAAATTCCATCTTGCATACTTGTCACTATTCTATTCTCATTTCTATTCCCACCACCACTCTCAGTGGTAACCTTCACAGATAAAGTGACCATACAAATTCTCATCCAAACTGGAGTATTAAAAGGGAACAGCTATTAGTAATTATCATTAAAATAATAATAGCTTGCAATGTTATCACATTGTAATAACAGCCTAGAACAACAGACACAAACTAGGACTATTCTAAGCAAACTGAAATGTGTACTCATCCTATTCACAGGTGATCCTGTGGGGAATGGACTGAAATCTAAACAAGAGGTTTCTTGCTATAACTGCTATTTAGAGCCAGTTTACACAGATCCACAATTCAAGGTTCCTTCATGGCATCATTGTTAGACAGATAAGAATGAAACAATATGGATATGTAACTACACTTGACCTTTAAACAATGCAGGGATTAGGAGTCCTAAACCCTCAGGATAGTCAAAATCCACATATAACTTTGACTCCCTAAAAACTTAACTACTGATAGCCTACTGTTGACCAGAAGCCTATAGATAACACAGTTAACACATATTTTGCATTTTGAAAAAAGCACAAGGTTTATATACTTGCTGGTGTAGCTGCAGCAACAGCTTCATGAATTTCTTGCGGATATCCTCTTATTTTACAATGAACCTTATACTGGATTCATTTATCTTGAAATGGGGGTAGTTGTGACTTGTAGACCTCAACTTAAGGGGCATATCAAGCAGTTCAACTTTTTCTTCTAATGTCATAACTTTTCTCTGCTTCTTGGGAGCATTTCAGCATCACTAGTGGCACTTCCTGTGGGTCTCATGGTATTATTCAAGGTTTACAGTATTGCAGCAAATATGATGAAAAATACACAAGAACCAGGAGAGATCAATCACTTTTTACTACAATACGTAATTTAATGGAGGGACAAACAGGAGGTGGCTTTGAAATTATTACAGTAGTACCAGTAAGTACTACAGTTAGGACTTAATGCTACATCTTTATGTTTGTTTGCATTTCTCTTGACTGAGAATGGCACTATGTAGTCTGTGTTTGCATATGTTTTAACAAATTTTAACTTTTTATGATAGATTTATGTCTATTTTTATGGAAGTAATAAAACAGTATCTACCTATATTTTATGCACTTACATATTTTTCTTAATTTTTTTGATATTTCTAGGCTATAGAGTTCAGCTCTGTAGTTTTTCAAATTGCTGCAAATCTCCAAAAAACTTTTCCAGTACATTTAATGAAAAAAAAAAATCAGCATATAAGTGGGCCCACACAGTTCAAACCCATGCTGTTCAAGGGTCAAACGTATATGACTATAATCACCACTGTCTTAGACCAAGGGTTGCAAACTTTCTCTGCAAAGGACCAGACAGTAAATATTTTGGCTTTGTGGGTCATACAGTCTAGCACAAAAACAGCCAAGGACAATACATAAATGAATTAGTATGGCTCTGTTCCAATAAAAGTTTATTTACAAAAACCTGTGACAGACTAGATTTGACCTACAGGCTGCAGTTTGTTGACTCGACTTACCAGTCGCTGGGAGAAATAATAAGTCTGTAATAACGAAGAATATATACAGTTTTACTCATAATTTCATTTGTGAGAAGAGGGTAAGTTATTAAAATGATCAAGATAGGGCACACCTAGGCGTGATACTGTGAAATATATATTTGATTTTCATCCTTGTTGATGCCACACAACTCCTGGGATCCTTGGAGTCTCCAAAATGATAAATCTCTTTCTGTATGCTGATGAGATGACTGATGGTGGGAGCACCTAGGTGGCCTCAGGATGGGGGCTGATTGCCAGAGAAACTAATCAATGATTAGAGAATTAGAAACTTAAGCCCCACCTCCAAACCTCCAGGGTTAGGAGAGGTGCTGAAGTGTTAAGTTGATCACCAATGGCCAATGAGTTAATCAATCATGTCTACATATGAAGATTCCATAAAAGCCCAGAAGGCCTGGGTTCAAGGAGCTTCCAGAGAGCTGGATGTGTGGAGGTGCCTGGAGAGTGGTGCAGTTGAGGCGGCATGAGAGCCCCACACCACATTACTTTGCCCTATACATTTCTTCCATCTGGCTGTTCATCTGTATCCTTTGGAATATCCTTTATAATTAGTGGGTTAACATGTTTCTGGAGTTGTGTAAACTGTTCTAGCAAATCAACAGATCCAAGGAGTGGGTCATAAGAACCCTAATTTATTGCCTTTGGATCAGAAGTCCAGGTCACAACTAACTACTTATAATTGGCACCTGAAGTGGGGGGCAGTCTTGTGGGGTGGTGCTCACAATCAGTGGGATCTGACACTCTCTCCAGGTAAACAGTGTCAGAATTGAATTAGAGGACAACTATAGCTGGAGAACTGCTTGGTGTATAGGTGTCCACCACATACCTGTGGTCAGAAATATGTTGCATCACTGTAGAAGTAGAGGAAAAAAAAGTTTGTTTTTTCCTTTTCAATAGGCATCAAGTGAGTTTTTACTTTATTTTAATTTTGTGGTAGGTAGAAAGTAAGGATTGCTGAGTATTCACCCAAACTCCCAACTTTACCTATTTCTCCTCAAAGTCTTAATGACATGGTGCCTGAAATGACTTTATTCATTCTATTTCAAACTAAATCAGATATATTTTCCCTCTTTTGGTACAACAGATACTTGTTATGAGGACTGAATTGGGTAATGCTGCTTGAACACAGAGTAAACAACAGATATTAACCTTCTGGGGAGAATAAGAATAGGAATGAAAAGGAGAAACTCTTCCCACTAAGAAATAAGAAAATACTTACTTTGAAAACAGTTTTTAATTTAGATATCATTTGAATACCAATTTATAAAATCATAGTTAAAAGTTAATGGGAGATAAGCCATTTACATTCTTCCTTTAGTACATTTTCACCTAAGTATAAAACATATATTAAAAAGTACAAACATTATAACAATATATACATCTTCTGTGTAGCCTATGCCCAAATCAAGTTTTAACATTACCAGAACTACAGAAGCCCCCTCACAGTCCATCAGTCACTATCACTACCAAAAATAACTAACTTTGCTTTCTAACACTATAGATATATTTTGTCTATTTCTGAACCATACTGAAAAGGAATCATACCATATATGCTTTTTTGTGAGTTCATTTTGTGAGCTTGTTATTTCATTATTATTTTTGTGAGAATCATTCACATTATTACATATCAGTTCATTCATTCTCATTGTATAGTATGTCATTGCATTAGTGTACCACAATATATTTATCCATTCTACTGCTGATATAATAACCAATACTATTGAATTTGGGTTGATTCCAGTATGAGGTCATTACAGTTAGTATTGCTAAGAACATTTCTTACATGTCTATTAGTGAACATAGGTACATATATCTAACAAATGTATGCCTAGAGTAGGACTATAGGTCAGAGAGTACCATATGTTAAGCTTTAGTGTATACAGTGCCAAACAGATTTTCAAAACAAATATGCAAACTGTCTCTCTAAATAGCAGTAATATGAGAGTTCCCATAGTTCCATATGCTTGTCACCTTTTATGTTATCAATCTTTTACTTCTAGTCAAACTCATGGGTATGTGGTGGTATATAGTCATATGACTTTGTATTTCCCTGATGGCTAATTAGATTGTGTACCATTTCATCTTAATTACTCAATTAGATATTCTTTTTTATAATGCAGGTTCAAGAAATCCGCTCACTTTTCTACTGCTCATTTTCCTTTTTTTTTTTTTGTCAGAAGGTTCTCAAAGTCCTGGGTAAGTGACTCTTCTGCCTCAGTCACCTGAGTAGCCAGGATTACAGTGGTCTGTGTTTTTCTTATTGATGTATAAGAATT